TACCTTCATTATCATTACCTTTTTTATTTATCTTCACTTGCATTGCCTGTTTTTTTGCACAATCCAATTAATGTTCAACAAATTCTCACAGTCCTCGGTTCTTATGGACGTTGGGGCCCTCCTGAGACATTTGGAAAATCCTAACTTGTTAAAACGTGACATCACGACCAGCCTCAGCGTCTATACCCACGCCAACCCTTCCGACGAACTTGAAGCCACTGTCACTGGTCTGCACAGTGAGGTAGCCCCTTCCGCTAGGCAGATATTGGATACACGAGATGTCTCGACTGATGCCCTCGGTCTGGTCGACGCCAATTCCCACGGCTCGGCAGATTTGATTGTGCAACTATTGCGCCAGCGAATCCACGAACTGGAGACGGACAGAGGCTGGTTGACTGGCGAGAATCGACTGCTGGTCGAGGCGGCAGTTCGAGGCTGTCAGGCCTCCCAATCGAAGTCGAGCCTCCAAGATTTTGTGGCTTGTTCTCCCGCCGTTTCGTTGATGAGCCTGACAACTGAAAAGGCGACGCCATCGCAGTTCATCCACTCGACACTCCGTGCCTCGGCCAGGTCCGACGGCCGTCAAGCGTAAGGCCTATAGAAACACTAATTCATCTCGGTCTATTTCCGACCATACCAGAGTCTGCATATACAAAGGAAAGTGGGTGTCGATGAAACACTGGACATAAAGTTGTTAGGAAAACTTTCATTTCATATAAAAGTGCATGAAGGAGAGATTCGCACGTCGGTCCCATCAAAAGATGGCGTTCGATTCCCGTTTACTGTGACACTCCGATTAAAGATGTCCACGAGATCGTCCCTCGTTTCGGGTTAAAGAGGAGTCATCCGAAGTGGCTGAGCACAGTCATGAGACTGGACATGAGATAACGAGTAGATTTGCTGATTATTGTACGTCTGCTGTTAAAAACAAGATACGCGAGAATGTTGAAATTAATAGATTGGGGAATACGTCGAATATGAGGAATGTTAGTAGAAAGTTGAACAAGTGTTTCTTGTAATGTTGGTTCGATCTTGTTTTTGCAACTTGGTCGCAGCATCAAGAAGACTTTGTGGAACGTACCTAGTCCTGTAACCTATGTCATAGTATTCGTGATTTCCAGCGCTATTCACTGACGATGCTGGCGAGACGTTTAGGAAGG